TTCTTAGAAGTTTTGGCAAGGCATTAAGAAGTGGTATTTCTATGAAATTAGAATAAGTCAGAATAAGGTAAATTCACATTGGGAAGGCAAATAGACCTACATATAGGTTCAAATGTCAAACCCGGTTATTTTAGACAAGGACATGTAGGAAAATCATTCTAAAAGGTCAACTTAAATTAAGAATCAATTTTTTCCAGGGAAAAAACAGACCTGTCCTTTCTGTAAGGCCTGGACCCTCTCAGCAAACGCCACCTTGACAAAATTAAGATCTTCCTTCCCTTTGATCATGGACTATCCCCTAAACAAATTGCAGATGATAAACCTTAAAATCATCAACAGTGCAGTTTTATTAGAGTGCATTCATTTCATTTTATGAGCAAATGCCAAGTTTGACAGCATGACACCCGAGCCCCTGAATGCATGGCTGGTCGGCTCTCTGGGAAAGCATGGGACAACAATAATGCAGACAGCTTGGTGCTTACGCTGTTCTTCCTGCTGGAAGCTGAACTATTGTCTCTCCCCTGAAGCAAGAAACAGGCCCAGTGCCTTTTAAACCTGTATGATATAAATTAACAGAGACTTTTATAAATGACAATTACAAAATATTTCAGTACATCTGTTTAATCAACAAATGTTTAAAGAGCCAAGCATGATTCTGCTATAAACAGGAGATTTATGGGACAGTGCTTTGGCTAACACTTTATCTTCCCAGTTCTTAACTGTGACAAAACTATTATACAGTTATACTACTCATGAAGTTTTTATTTATTTTTTCCTATAAAATAATCAGTTGCATGCAGACCTCAGATAGATCCAGATCATCTGCCTTTATGTATTTGTGACAGTTTAATTTTCTTCTTTCTCCTTTACCATTGTTGAATTGTCATAAGAATCATTTGTTTTATTTAGCTCCATTTCATTTTACCTTTCTTTTGACTGAAAAAATAACACCTGATTTAGGAAAATGTTATTTAATAAAAACAGGAATAGTATTCTGGGATTTAAGTTAATACTGTTACTTAGCCACTAGGCTATGCTAAAGGACAGTCCATTTGTTCAAGAACACTTCTGTCTTCCAGCTCCCCAAAAAAGGAGGAAAATAAATTAAAAAACTGGATATGAATTATTTAACCATTCAAAACCTAGCTGGTAATTCATTTAACAGATGTATATGAGTTTATATAATTAGTTTATAGGACATATTCCAAAAGAATAAATGAGCCCTTTTTAAAAAATCAAATCTATGTCATGTGGTAATGTCCAGTTTGGTTTAAAAGAATGAAATCATCTTTATGTTTATTTTATTCAAAATAAGTGTATTTTCATTTATGTGTAGTCACTCCTATTTTTTAAAAAAACTATAATATTTAGTCATGGACTGATTAGTTATCAGAAACATGAGCTTTTTATCAGATATATTTTTCTGCTTATAAAAAGGTTATTTAGGGTGCCTGGGTGGCTCAGTTGGTTAAGCAACTCAGATCATGATTCCGGAGTCCCGGGATCGAGTCCCACATCGGGCTCCCTGCTGGCAGGGAGTCTGCTTCTCCCTCTGACCCTACCCGCTCTGTGCTCTCTCTCTCACTCTCTCTCAAATAAATATAAAATCTTAAAAAAAAAAAAAAGGTTATTTAAAAAAGCAACAGTTGAGAACCAAATGCATTTGTTTTAGATATTTTTCACATTAAAATTATACTCTATTCTCTAACTTGTGTTTAGAACCCTTTGTATTTCAACTTAGGAATGCAACTTATTGCCATTTTTTCCTTAAAACTCTAAGGACCCTACTACTATTTTCATCATCATTATTATATTAATACCTATCCTTGACTGCATACTGTGTGGGGAGGGGGCACTGAGATTCAAACAGGTCTAAGAAACTCACAGTGCAGTTGGGGACACAAAAAATAAAACACTGATAAAATAAATTGAAGGCCCACACAGGTGCTATATATATGTGATGAATATTCATTACATGTTATAATAGTTCATATAAGAGAGGCCCACATTCTTAGAACATCCAACAGGTTTTTATAACTAAAGACCCAGAGGATTTCAAAGTCTAGTTCTCAAAAGTGGTCTGAAGATAAAAATCCATAACCCTCCCAATTTATTGTTTAATCCACTTGACAAGTCTATCTGTAAGAGGGGTTTGCCATATTTTAAAGATAAATTAATCTTTTTTTAACTTGTCTCTTTTTCATTTATTCATTACTCATCTGTTAATTATTCATTATAGGCTGAATTATTGACAGAACACAACCCAGCCCCAAAGCAAAATGCTATTAATCTACTACTCATATCCTATTATCGCTTTGGCATATGACAGAGTACTTGGAAGAAAAAGGTTAGCGGACTTTCTCTTCTTAAATGTAATTAAGTTCAGTAAAATCCATTTATGAGACACTGCAGAAAAAAGATGAATACAATTATGATGTAGGTCAAACCATGTTTGCCCATATACACAGGGGTGATATTTAAAATATTTATGTGTTTCCACAAGCACCAAGGAACCCAAACAGCTGCTTGCGCTAAAGCACCTGTACCTGCCCATGGGGATAAACTGCCAGGACAGCAATGTTGAAAACCTTTAATTCTGGTTGATCATCATCATTATTATGTCCAATATGGACATTAGCTTCTACTGAATCTCTATTATGAAATATGATATTCTTAATTATGCTGCATAACATACCAACTAGCAGGACAGCATCACATGTATTTTCAGTTCTAGAACTCCTTCCTTTTACATACTATAAACTGCAGAGATACCTGAATGTCTAGAATTGCCTATTGGTATCTTTTAGGAATGGCAGATAATAATTCATGTGGCTGGATCTAAAGCATTACTGATCTGAATCCAAGGTGAGTTCCTGGGCTTTCTATATTAAATTGAGAGCCTATTTTGGGATTACAATTTTCTTTAGTGACCCCCTTCACTGGTAGTCTTCGACAGAAGTCAACTCCAGACCCATCCTGGGGTTCCTGACTTAGTCAAGGGCTCAGAGATAAGATATAAACCAGTTCTCCTTCAGTGCAAAGGATTAAAAAAAAAAAAAGGAAAGGAAACCAACCAACCAAAAAAATCAACTCTTGGCAGGGGTTTGGACTGCCCCACCTGCCCTGGAGCATTCTAAAGGAAGAAGTTGCCAAAGAGGAGAGCAGGGCTTTCTTCCCACAGAAGTGAAAGGCTGCAGAGCTTGCCATGTGCCCAACCTCATGTTTAGTGTCTTGGTTCTTGGGACACTTTGAAGGCTCCAGGGGTATTCATCATGGTGATGGCCATTTGTAAATTAAAGACTATGTTGGAAGTATAAAACATAGGTTCCAATTTCTTATGGATGGTGCCCTTCATCAAAAGAGACTGATATAAAAATAGTAGAGAAATAACTGCAGTGCCTGGAATATATGTTCCTTTATGCCTAACTCTAGACTCTACTAGTCTCTAAGCACTTTAGGGTAGTAATATTCTCACTCTCTATGCCAGCTGTACCCAACTTGTCTTCATTGGCTAAAAGTCCTTCCAGAACTCTTTATTGCCCATGGATATGCTATGTCATGTGACTGGGATGCCCTTCCTCCTCACTGCCCACCCAAATTCATACTTCAAGTTTCATCTCAAAAGTCAGGTGTCTTGTGAGATTTTCATGACTGATTGTAGCTAAAATCAGAAGTGTTCTTTCCACCAGTTCCCATTCATCTCTTACAGCACTTACCGTTCACTATTATAATTACTTGTATACAAGGCTGAATCCCTGACTAGCCACTTCCTTTAGGCCTGAGATGGTATCCCATTGAGGTTTGTTCTGGGAGGAACAGAGTAAGCGCTCAATACATGCCTGCTAAATAAATCAATGGTCAGCAGGTAGAGGGAGGAATGAGAAGAACTCTAAATATTAAATCCCAGGAACTCCATCTGCATTATGAGCTGAGTCATGGTTAGCCTTTAGTTTGTGTTACTACATTGAAGATGCCATAATGCGGGCTACATTTTCCTTTCAAAGAGCCCACCCTCTGAGCTGTTCTTCCCATCATTGAGCCTCATTCTGCTTACACATTGCCCATCCAAACCAAGGAAGCAATGTAGTCCTTAGTCCCTGTTAGTCATCCAAAGAATCCTTATCTTACGACTCATCAGTTAACTCCGCCACAGTGCTGGTGATCTGGCTCCAAAGCCAGCAGGTGGCACCTCTCCACACAGGAATGCACGTTCTTAGACTCTTACGTTGGTTGCTAATCTCAGACAGAGCCACTTGAGCAACTGCTTCTCTCCACTGTGAAAAAAAGGTTGCATTCCTTCCTAATAACTAACAGCCCTGTGCTGGGATTTGACTGTAGCGAGTCCTATAGGGTTCATCTTGGAAAGACCCAGGTTTTTAAAAAACTCATTTTATTGTATTCCAGAGTTCAGACCTGTTACCTCACCAACTACAAGGACAAAAGAACCCTGGCTGAGATGAGGGCTGACCCCGGCCCACGGAAGTCCCCAGGAAACAGGCTTACCCACCAGCGTCGGTTCGTCCAGGAGCGGTGCCATTTTCCACTCACACATTGGATGAACACTCACATCCCTCCCTGACAAAACTTTCACACAGCCTCCTGGAGTTATATCTGAATGACATTTTAGCTTTAATATATTTTATGTAAGTTTATTTCTGGGAGACCTGAATGCTATGCTAGTTTCAACCATCATTATATTTTGGAAAGTATCTCTTAGAGGTTATCTCCATCTATCACTACTCTTCATCAATATAAATGATGTAGAATACCACTGCAATCGATTACCAATATGATGTTAGCATGGAAGCAGTTATCTTAACTAAATACCCATGTATTTAGATATAAAGGTGTCTAGCAGTTTAAAAAATTAAGCTATTCCATAAATGTCATTTTGGGGGAAATTCCATGATATACTGGCTCTGTCAGTAAACTGACAAAAACGATACATTGAAATTAAATCCAGTAATTCAGGAGAAAAAGATCTTCAAGTACACACTCACCCACTATGTTTCATATGTGGTGGTTTATCCATTCGCACTGCTAATTTGATTTTTAAGTCAGAGTCCTGGCTATTTTTTGGAACTATCATTCGGTGCAACTCAGCTGACTTGGAGCTATTAGAAGTTGGGTATAATATCACCTGTGAAAGACAAAAAAGAAAGAAAACATTTAAGTGCACAATACAGTGTCTAATGATTGGAACGGAAATCTTTTCTCTGTTTTCCTGTTTAAAAAGAAGGTATCATGCCCAAATGTGTCTAAACCATTTGACTCCCACCACAACAGATGGGTTTTCAATACAGACTCATTTATCTTTTTGACAAATATGTGTTTTCATATTATCACATAACGAGTTTTCTTCCTATGTCACTTCATAATGAGGTTAAGAGCACAAAGGCTACAGTTGAATTGACAGTTGAGAAATACTTGTTAGACACCTATAATTTCAAGACTATTCTAAACTCCTTAGGACAGGGCGCCTGGGTGGCTCAGTTGGTTAAGCGACTGCCTTCGGCTCAGGTCATGATCCTGGAGTCCCGGGATCGAGTCCCGCATCAGGCTCCCTGCTCGGCAGGGAGCCTGCTTCTCCCTCTGGCCCTCCCCCCTCTCATGTGCTCTCTCTCTCTCTCTCTCTCTGTCTCAAATAAATAAATAAAATCTTTAAAAAAAATAATAAAATAAAAAAATAAACTCCTTAGGACAAAAGTTCAGAAAGAAGTATTTTTTGAAATTACCGATAGCATGCTTAAAAAAGTAAAACCAATTATTTTAGGCAGCAAAAATATAACTCATATTTTAATATTTTCATTGTAAAATAGTATTAAAGGAAATCAACTCAATTAGAGATGGAAAAGACTGATATCACAGCACATTTTCTGCCTTAGATCAATACCAAAGGATTTTTTCCCTGATAACATGTTTTAGAAACTATGAAGATATTATGACTGAAACAAAATAATTTTTAACAAAACCTCCAAAACACCAAGTGATTATTTCAGAACTCTACAGCTTCACAAAGCCAACACAGAAGAAAAGCTTACTCTTCATATACAAGCCTACCTCATCTTAGTGCATTTCACTTTCTTGTTCTTCACAGATACTGCATTTTACAAACTGAAAGTCTGTGGCAACCCTGCGTTGAGCAGGCCTACTTGGTGCCGTTTTACCAACAGCACCTGCTCACCTCACATCTTGTCACATTTTGGTAATTCTCAAAATGTTTCAAATTTTTACATTATTATATTTGCTATGGTGTCTGTGGTCAGTGAACAACTGTAATGTTTTGGGGCATCACAAACCATGCTCATGTAGGACTGCAAACTTAAATTTGTGTTTATAAATGTGTGTTTTCTGACTGCTCTACTAATTGATTATTACGCTGTCTCTCTCCCTCTCCTTGGGTCTCCCTATTCCCTGAGACACAATAATATTGAAATTAAGATACTAACCTTACAATAGCCTCTGAGTGTTCAAGTGCAAGAAGGAGTCACGTGTCTCACTTTAAATCAAAAACTAGAAATCACTAAGCTTAGTGAGGAAGGCATGTCAAAAGCCAAGATAGGCTGAAGGCTAGGTCTCCTGGGCCACATTGTCATTGTAAAGGGAAAGTTCTTGAAGGAAATTAAAAGTGTACTCTAGTGCATGCACAAGGGATAAAAAGCAAAACAACCTTATTGCTAATATAGAGAAAGTTTTAGCGGTTGTGAGAGAAGATCAAATAAGCTACAACATTCCCTAGAGCCAAGGCTTAATCCAGAGCAAGACCCTAACTCTCTTCAATTCTATGAAGGCTGAGAGAGGTAAGGAAGCTGCAGAAGGAAAGTCTGAAACTAGCAGAGGTTGGTTCATGAGGTTAAAGGAAAGAAGCCGTCTCCATAACATAGAATTACAAGGTGAAGCAGTTAGTGCTGATGTTGAAGCCACAGCAAGTTATCTGAAGATCTAACTAATAAAAGCGGCAACACTAAACAACATATTTTCAATGTACATGAAACAGTCTTCTATTGGAAGAAGTCATCTTAGACCTTCATAGCTAGAGAGGAGAAGTCAATTACTGGCTTCAAAGCATCAAAGGGACAGGCAGACTCTTATTAGGGGCTAATGTAACTGGTGACGTTAAATTGAAGCTAAGGCTCATTTACCTACCATTCCAAAAATCCTAGGGCCCTTAAGAATGATACCAAATCTGCTCTGCTTGAGCTCTATAAATGGAATAAGAAAGTCTTGATAACAGCGCATCTGTTTACAACATGGTTTACTGGCTATTTTAAGTCCACTGTTGAGACCTACTGCTCTGAAGAAAAAAAAAAGATTCCTTTCAAAATATTACAATGCACCTGGTCACCCAAGAGCTCTGATGGAGATGGACAATGAGATTAATGTTCTTTCCATGCTTGCTAACATAACATCCATCCTGCAGCCCATGGATCAAGGAGTGATTTTCACTTTGAAGTCCTATGTAAGAAACACATTCCATAAGGCTAAAGCTGCCATATATAACGATTTCTCTGATGGATCTAGGCAAGGTAAATAGAAAACCTTCCAAAAAGGATTCACCATTCTAGATGCCATTAAGAACATTTATGATTCATGGGAAGAAGTCAAAATATCAACAGTAGCAGGAGTTTGAAAGAAGTGGATTCCAGTTCTCCTGGATGATTTTGGGAGGTTTCAAAACTTCAGGGGAGGAAGTAACTGCAGATGTGGTGGAAACAGCAAGAGAACCAGAAGTAGAACCTGAAGATATGACTGAACAACTATTCCCTGAGTTACAACAATATTGAAATTCAGCCAACTAGTTACCCTGAAATGGCCTGTAAGCATTTACGTGACCGGCAGAGTCACTCAGTACAGGGCTGCAGTCTCCTGGTAACCTTTAGCAGGTAAGGAGGTACTTCTTGTGGACGAGTAAAGGAAGTGGTTTGAGATGGAATCTACTCCTGATGAAGATGCTGTGAAGACTGTTGAATTGACAACAAAGGATTTAGAATATTACACAGACTTAGTTGGTAATGCAGTGGCAGGGTTTGAGAGGACTGATTCTAATTCTGAAGGAAGTTCTACCGTTTGTAAAATGCTAGCAAACAGCATCGCATACTCGAGAAATCGTTCGTGAAAGGAAGAGTCCATCAATAATGGCCAACTTCATGTGGTCTTAATTTAAGAAGTTACCATGGCCACCCTAACCTTCAGGAACCCCCACCCTGATCAGTCAGTGATCATCGACATCAAGGCAGGATCCTCCACCAGCAAAACGATTATGATTTCCTGAAAGCTCAGATGATGGTTAGTGTTTTTAGTAATAAGTATTTTTTAATTAAGGTATTTACTTTTTAAAGACAATGTTATTGCACACATAAGAGATTACAGTATAGTGTAAACATAACTTTTATATGCACTGACAAACCAAAAAACTCATTTGACTCACTTTATCAGGATATCCATTTTATTGCAGAACTCTGGAACTAAACTCACAGTATCTCTGAGGAATGCCTGTACATAAAATGATATATTTTCCCCACTTTAGTCAGTCATAACATTATTTAGACATGGCCTATATCCAAGCCTTGATATTTTTAAATGGGAGGACTATATTCTGAAGGATAAAGATATGAAATGCAGTGTGTATTTTAAGCCACTCTTATTTTATACCAATGTGAAAAGTAAACCAACCTGAAATTTCTATGTAAATGGAAGAATTATAAACATGCTCAGGTATGCTAAAATGTTCTTACAACAAAACACGGCAACTGAATTTGGCATGCTCTGCCAAAAAACAAAAGTCTTCATTTCCATGTATAAGTGGAACTATTCACAGAGAAATTTTCAAGCAAAGCTCTTTTTCTCTCTAGGAAAGGCAAGTCATAAGAGCTACTTAAACTATTCTCAACTTCCAAGTTGTTAAATGCAACTACTATTTTGAGACTTCTCTCAAGCCTATCCTAAAAGCCACAGCTGAGTTGAATCCAGCATATCTACACACTTAAGCATGTAAAGGCACATCCCGTAACAGATAAAATGGCATTTGTGATATTTTAAAAAATGATATTATAGAAGTAATCCATTCTGACTGCTAAAAATATCCAATGGAATATTTTACAGATTCTTTCTTAAATGAGAGTTAAAAAAAAAAAAAAGTGATAATTTTTGGCTCAAACCAGTAGACAAAACAACGTTATTATCAACTTAGGGGAAGACTCCAAAAAAGCAGCAAAGACTAAGAGCTGTATATCTACCCTCTGAAGCTATAGCTGCCATTTCCCTAGCAATTCTGGAAAGCTTTTTCTCGTTCTTCCCACCACATCCTTTTATCCCCCAAATATATTTTGGCATGAGCTACCTAAAGACTTTATTCCTTTTTAATTCTTCCTTTTTTGTTTACACAAAAATTGGTATTGTTCCAAACTCCAAAAGTCTCATATAGGACAAGAATATTTAAATGAAGACTTTTGACCATTTTCTCATTCTCTAAATGCTGATGACAGTTACTAAATAAGGTCCCAAAACAACTAATTGCATCCGATCCACAAATTAAGGATAATCTCACTATTGAATACCATCATTTCTGCCACATTTTAGTTTCCTAATGTGTACTTTTAAGTGAAGTCAGTGGAAGGATTTACTGCTTATCTCTGTTCAATTAAACATTTGAGGGCCCATTATGTAGGGACACTCAAAGGTGAAAGAATACGGATGGCTCAGATCCCTCAGGGAGTCCATAGTTTCTTCTTATCGGAGCTAAGGGCTCAGATACTATCTGATGATCTTACTTCCTCTTACTGCACTTCTAACCCTAAGATGTGCCAAAGTTTGCTGATTTTGTCAGTCTCTGGGTTTACTCACTGTCATTTCTTTGGTGGCTCTGTTCTATCACATGTGAAGCTAATACCTTGTGTTACATTTCTTCCTTTTGAAAGACCTAGAATTGTCTGTTTCTCGGGACAAACATTGACACATGTAACAAATGGAGGTCCATACATATGAAATACATTGTTTGTAAAAGAACTGTACTGATAGATAAACCCTGAACTTAGTCTTAACAATGACTGCAAGGCAGTTTCCAGGTCCCCAAACTGCACATGCATGAAGTGGTCATGGTCCTCTACATGATGTTGCCACAGATGTTAACAGACAGGCAGC